CGGTGGATCGGAGGAGGGAGACGGAATTGGAGTGATCTTGGCCCTTGAAGATTTGAGCAATCTCTTGCATTGGTCCACCGTTGGATAAAATATCCCATTCCGATCTCAAAAGCTCATCTCTGAGGAAATCAAAGAGCCGTCGCGGCGAAACCGGTATCCATACTGAGGTGGCTGCGCTTAAAAGAATTCCCGGTGGTTCGCCGGAATCATCTACGTTCTTCCTCGTCATGATCTTAACGTCTTCATCGATGTTACTGACTTCAAGTTTACTCCATTTATGAGAAGAAGAAGCACACACTCCACTACAGAAATTCTGAGTCATTCTTTGAGCTAGCTTTAACATACTCTTCTTCCCTATAGAGCTTATAGCTGCATTGTCCGAAAACAAAAAGAAGTCGCGGTAAACCGAAAAACGTTATTATTGGGATCGAAGCGTTTTGAAGCGGTTGGAGGGAGCTTACGTGTGGTTTTGTTGCGGTTGGGGATTGTTGAGGACATGAGGACTGTGAGGCTTTCGCATTGTCGTTGTAGAGTGGATAACCACCGTTTGGAACCGAAGGCGAGACCGGACCTGACTAATGGACGATACAAATGGTGAATGTTGGTTTCGTCGTACTCGGTGTGGTCAATCCATGTTACCTATTGAGAAAATGAAGATACTTTATGGTCGTGATTATAATATCAAGAAAATGACTTGAACTTTTAATCGAGACAATACTTTTAATTTAAGATGTGTATACAAGAAAGTGACATGAACTTTAATGTGATGGTACCATAAATTGTAGAGATTTATAGATACTTCTATTTAATAAAGTAGAGGTAGATTTTAAAGCATTTCATGAATAAATTGGTTGAAAGTTTAAAAACTCGTGTTTTGTACCTTAGAGTAACCATTGGGCATGTCTTCCACAAGGCAACCAGACGGTAGCCTTCTACAGCTCAAAGAAGACCGAGCCGAGGCTGAACCGCCTTGGTCGCTAATCCTATCGATAGAGACATCGACGACCGCCCAAACACCTTCTGCGTGTTGCTTACAGAACCTCAAGAAATTCACTTGACGAACCGGCACAAGCGGTGATAGCAACTGAAGCTCTGCTTGCATCTATTCGAACCAAAATGTGTTAAAATCCGAACATCGATCTAGAAACCAAAATTGTAATGTTTTGTTCGTATATACGTACTTACCAGAAGAAGAGCACCGTTTCTTGACCCTCCCATACCACTAGAGATGATTTCAATAGTCGAATTTTTCGCAATCATACATGGAAACATCTCCTTCCATCGTTCCTACAAAATCAATAACCTTTGTAAGCAATAAACATTTTCAAAAAAAGTATATAAATTGTTATCAAGTGTAGTAATTTAAGTAACTAACCGAGTCCATTAAGGTCTCAACGAGAGCTAAGCCATTGATGATAACCATTCCAATTTCTTTAGAAGCTTCTGAAACAAACCCGTCCGGTTTAGGACCGACGCAATGTGTGAAACTTCTGTCGTATTCTTCTCGGTTAAGCGTCTCGCGTTTTCCTTTCGAGCTCGGGATCCAAAGCGGTTCGCTAGTCTGCGCCATTTTCACAAGCTCATCCATTGCGGAAAGAGCAAATTCTAGATACAATGACTTCTGATCAATCCCGGTCGCAGCAACATCCGTACCGGTACGGTTAACCGGAGCTGCTAAACCGGAGAAGAAAGGAGATGATGAAATCTCGAATCCATGAGGGACAAGAGTGAA